AACCAGCCTGCAGGAGCTCCAAACAGGAGGTAAGAAGGAGGTCAGTGTGTCTGTGTGTGACTATCTGTGTGTGTGTGTCTGTCTGCCTGTGTGTGTGTGACTGTGTGTGTGTGTCTGTCTGCCTGTGTGTGTGTGACTGTCTGTGACACTGTGTGTGTGTGTGTGTGACTGCCTGTGTGACTGTGTGTGTATGTGTGACTGTCTGTGTGTGTGTGACTGTGTGTGTGTCTGACTATCTGCCTGTGTGTGTGACCCTCTGTGTGTGTGTCTGACTGTCTGCCTGTGTGTGACTGCCTGTGTGTGTGTGTGTGACTGCCTGTGTGTGACTGTCTGTGTGTGTGTGTGACTGTCTGTGTGTGTGTGTGTGACTGTCGGTGTAACTGTGTGTGTTTGCCTGTGTGTGTGACTGTCTGCCTGTGTCTAACTGTGTGTGTGTGACTGCCTGTGTGTGTGACTGTCTGCCTGTGTGTAACTGTGTGTGTGTGACTGTCTGCCTGTGTATGTGTGTGGCTGTCTGCCTGTCTCTGTATGTGTGGATGTTTACCTCGGTGTCAGTGACTGTCTGCCTCTGTGTGTATGGATGTCTTTGTGTGTGTGTGTATCTGCTAGTGAGTGAGCGAGCAAGCTTCTGTGTGTGTGTGTGCGCACATCTGCTAGTGAGGGAGCCTCTGTGTGTGTGCGCCTGCTAGTGAGTTTGTGTGTGTGCCTGTTAGTGAGTGAGCTTGTATGTGTATCAGTGAGCTTGTTTGTAGGGATCATATGTGTGTGTACGTGTTAGTGAGCTTGTCTGTAAGGAGCATGGTTGTGTTGGAGCCTGTCTGTGTGAGCATGTGTGTACAGTGAGCTTGTCTGTAGTAAGCATAAGTGTGATCGTGAGCTTGTCTGTAGTGACCATGTGTGTGTCAGTCAGCTTGTCTGTAGTGAGCATGTATGTAGTGAATCTGTGTGTTAGTGAGCTCTTCTGTAGGGCGCATGTGTGTGTCAATGGGCTTGTCTGTAGGGAGAGTGTGTGCGCATCAGTGAGCTTGTCTGTAGTGAGCGTGTGTGTGTGACAGTGAGCCTGTCTGTGGTAAGCTTGTGTGTGCATCAGATTATGTCTGTACTAAATTTGTGTGTGTGCCAGTAACCTTGTCTGTGTTTGTCATTGAGATTGTCTGCCAATGAGCCTATTTGTGTGCATCAGTAAGATTGTCTGTCTGTGTGTGAGTATGCTTTACTGTATAATTTAATTACCCTGAAAGAAGAAATGTATCAATAATATATATACACACACACATATATATATATATATATATATATATATATTTGCTGTTGTACCTTGCACTCCGGCTTCAAAGTTGTGTGACCGGGTGATTCACCAGGGCTCCAGTATCCAGGCAATTGAAATAGTTGGCTGCACGCTCAGATTTCCTTAAAACATAACTTTTATTGAAATATTTAAGAGAAGATCAATGTTTCAGTCCCTCTTGTGGACTTTCATCATGATCCTGATGAAAGTCCATAAGAGGGACTGAAACGTTGATCTTCTCTTAAATATTTCAATAAAAGTTATGTTACGTTTTAAGGAAATCCGAGAGTGCAGCCAACTATTTCAATTGCATATATATATATATATATATATAAATATAAAACACCCTACATAGCACAATGACTTATGGGGCTGGCAGATATTTTTTTCCAGGGCTGCTTCGTATCCCCAGTCCGGCCCTGTCTCCTACCCCTGGCTTCAAACAGAACAGGAGATTTAGAATGGAAAAGCAAGGAGCATTTTAAAAAGCATGGTGGTCTCAGAGGGCTGGAAGGGCACCTGACCTAAATATACTGTTCATGTTCCTTTACTGCTGAAAATCAGGTGATTGTTTAAAATGTTATGTAACGTGCCCTCTGGGATCTGCTCGTGTGTTTCTGAGGAAGTAACTATATGTATGCCTTAATCTGAACGTGTAATCGTATGAAACTCTATGTGTTTCTGATGGCCTAATTGGGTGTTTTTCTGAGAATGTTATGTCTGTTTAAGCATAATTTCTCTTTCATATTAAATGCACCCACACTTATTATATATCATTTTGTTCAGGAGAAATAGGGCTTTCATTTCATATCAAATATTTATATATGGAACACAATTTAATATGAATAAAATCTAAAACGTGAAAAAAATTAAGAAATTTAGTTTTTTTTCCAAGTTTTGCTTGATATTTTAACTCCGAATGTCATTATACTGTTAGCTTTTACTGCAGTAAAATACATATATTTGTGTTCCGCGATGTCTCACAAGTACAACACTATCCTCCATGTACAGGTTTTATAGGGGTTTGGAAAGTTACAGGATCAAAAATAGAGATTTCCTTTTTTTTCTTCTTCTTTTTTTTTTTTTTTAACACATTGCAATTTGACGGTTTGGTTTGCTGGGCCCATGTTGCCTTTGAGACTGTATGACAGCCCAGAAATGAAATGTGTATATATTATGTGTTTATGTTTTTCTTTCTAACTGTAGTTTTATATATGATTTATACATAATTAAATGATTTTACCAAATATATGTTGGTGGATTGGGGGATACTATTCCTACAATTTGATTTAGCTAATTTCAATTAATAGAAATGATTTGTGTAAAATGATAGATGAAATCCAAAAAACAAATCTTCTTTCCTTTGAACACATAATCCAATAACTGTACTTATTTGTTAGGGAAAGCAATTTATCCTACAGTTGCAATCAAAATGATTTGCCCCCCAGGTCAGATTTCTTGTCAAAATGTACCGACTTTCAGCTGTTTGCAATAAACAAATCAGACAAAGCAATTGAAATAGCGCAACACAATGAATGCTTCAAGTGGTTCCCCCAAATACAACTAAAAAAGTAACTAATAATAACAAAGACGTTTCTTAGTGATTTAGGGAACTTATCCCTTTCAATGTATTTTAATCTTTCTCTTATGTCACTTCCTGTGATGTCATGCATGTACTGTATATTAATGCAAATTAACATGGCCGGTATTTTCTTTAAGAAAGGTGGCAACCCTAACTGTGTGCATGCATGTACTGTATATTAATGCAAATTAACATGGCCGGTATTTTCTTTAAGAAAGGTGGCAACCCTAACTGTGTGCAATGCCATGGTCATCGTCGCCAGTCTGGGCTTCTTGAAAGTGTCCATAAAGAACCATGCTATGGAGAGGATTACTTCTGTTCATTCTGGTGTCTTCATGAGAGTATATAGGGCTTTATATAAAACTGTTATTGGATAGAAGGCCATAAAGGACATTTTTTTTATTTTTTTTATTAAAAACATAAATGAACATTTTTTTTTTTTTAAATCTTTATTTTCATTGTGCATAATATAACATGACAACTTGCAAGGCCACAATAGCATTTGCCAGCACAGAATAGTCAGCATAGGTTACACATACATGGCTATGAGTTTGTGCACAATTTTTTAGTTTTTTTTTTCAAAATAAAAGACAGCGTAGATGAACAAGCTAGGCATATTTTTAAAGTGAAAAAATAAACTAGAGTTATAAATATATGCACAAAATGTGAGGGGCAAGATAATAAATTTTTGCTGTATGATTTACTGTCTTGATTTTCATCTTCCACCAAATAGTGAACTATCCTAAACTGACCCAAATGTAAGACTGGCCCTTAAATTGTGACAACAGAATGTGACACATTTCAAGAAACAAGTTTAGACCACCCAGGTGCAGTATATACACAATGAATATAAAAAGATAATTACTTCCTTTTGATTTGGTATAACAAAGAATTCCTCTAAATCCTCAATATAAATGAAAAAGTGAGATATACATAAACACATAAACAGAGAAAGAAAAAAACTCTTAGGGCAATAGTGTTAATCAACAATCAGCCTCTTATTTCAATGTTGCGCTCACAAAATTGGAGATATATTCAGGCTTATCAATAATGCATGGACTCTCACAGGTTCACCATCACTCAGATATACAGAGATGCATGAAAAAAATAAAAATAAACATTAGTTTATTGGTTCCTCTTTTTTGGAACATATTTTGCATTTTGGAGACACTAGACTGAAGAATCAAGTGAATGGTGGAAAAATAAAAACTATATATAAAAAATAGAAAAATTCTTTATTCATATATCTTTTTTAATATTTATTAATTCATTTTTTTAATATTTTCTATTTTTTCTATTTTTCCATTTTTTATATATATATATATTTATTTTTCCACCTTTCACTTGATTCTTCAGTCTAGCGTCTCCAAAATGCTACATAAATAAAGCCCCAAGAAAACCCCAACGCCCGACGTCTTTCGGCGCTACTGAACTGCGCCTTCGTCCGGGGCTAGTGTAAGAGCGCCCCCCATTAGGACCCTTTAAATGTCTCCAAAATGTCTCCAAAATCCCTTCCATTTCTTCCACTTTCTCACCCCCTCTATTCTATCATCTCTTTTAGACAGGGCCAGATTAAGAGCCCAGTGGGCCTGGTGCTGACAGTTATGACGGGCCTAATTACAGAATCATTTCGACCAAAAACAGTAAAACACTCCCAAGCATCATGAATCTGATGGAGATGGTGCTGGAGAGAACGAAAACAGCAGCTATAAGAAAACACATACCATAGCCTAATCTCTCTCTAATTTATGTTTTCATCTTTCAAGTAAATCCATAACCCCTAACAGCAGTGTCCAGTCAAGCAAGAAGTCAATGGGCATGGTAAAAGGGTGTGCCACTGACACAAATCACGTAACCTGCCAAAAGGGGCGAACATGCCCAAAAAGAGGACATGTCTGCTCAAAGAATTAGAAGGCCAGTCTGGCATGAATGCATGTCAGGCTGCCTGCCAATCATGCAGCTGGCCAACTAAGGGAATACTATGCAGACAGCACCCTGAGCTTGGCATAAATGCATCTAATGATGCGCTCACTCAACACTTTCTAAGGACTGTCCCCTAGCACTCGCTGGTCCATTTGTCTCCTTACCTTCTTACTAGCAGGCAGAAGCTCCTGGTATATGGTCTGGGACAGAGAAAAGCTGTATGTAGTGAGTTTAGAAGAAAGGGAACATGCCACAGTGTTAGAGAGACCAAAGTCAGCATTACCTTAAAGGATCACTATAGGGTCAGGAACACAAACATGAATTCATGACCCTATGGTGTTAACACCACCATCTAGCCCCCCTGGGCCCCTCATGGCCTCCATAAATATAGCAAAATCCTACTATATTCAAGCCTGAAGCTGTAACTCTGCATGCTGTTAGACTCATAAAAAGAAGCAGTCTGCTGACATCATTAGAAGTGGTGGCCTGATCCAATCACAGTGCTTCCCCATAGGATTGGCTGAGACTGACAAAGAGGCAGATCAGGGTCAGAGCCAGCATGATTCAAACACAGCCCTGGCCAATCAGCATCTCCTTATATAGATGAATTTAATTAATGAATCTCTATGAGGAAACTTCAGTGTCTGCATGCAGAGGGAGGAGACACTGAATGTTTGGATGCATTTTAGGCAGAACAAATTCAATAAGCTGTAGTTGTTCTGGTGACTATAGTGTTCCTTTAACTATATTCATTGTCAGCCAGTCCACACAAGTTTTGTTTCCATACACCCCTCTTAAGTTTCCATACTTAAGTAAGAGTATGTGAAAAGTAGTTAGAGTTGCCACCTTTCTTGGAAAAACATACCAGCCTTACTAATTTGCATAATTACATGTGTGGGTGACATCACATGATGTAAATCACAAGGAGTGACATAAGAGAAAATGCTGTAAAATCACCAAAAAATTACTTAGTTTAAATCTGCTGTATAGATGGATTCCTCCCAGTGCCCCCATGTCTCCCAGTGCCCTCATGACTCAGTGCCCCCATGTGCCTATTACTCCAGGTCTCAGTGTTCCTATGTACCAGTGTCTCAGTGCCCCATGTCTCCCAGTGTCCCCTAGTGTCGTGTCGTGTCCCCAGGTCTCCCAGTGATCCTATGTATCAGTGTCTCAATGCCCCATGTCTCCCTGTGTCCCCATGTATCCCAGGGTCCCCATGTCACTAGGACACTAGGAAGACGGGGAGACCTGGGGACACGGGGAGACCTAGGGACACGGAGACACCAGTGACACTGGGAGACTAGGGGACTCTGGCTGGGACACATGGGGACAATGGGAAAATAGGGGACACTTGAAGACATGGGGACACAGACACCAGGGACAAAGATACTAGAGACACTAGCTGGGGCACTGGGAGACATGGGGACACTGAGACACCAGGGCCACAGACACTAGGGACACTAGCTTGGGGACATTGTGACACTTGAGGCACTGAGAGACATGGAGGCACTAGGAGACATGGGGACAGTGAGACACTCGCAGACTGGGGGCACTGGAAGACTAGAGGTCACTGGGAGACTAGGAGGCACTGAGACACCAGGGACACTGGCTGGGAGATATGGGGACATTGTGTCCCCATGTGTCTGTGCCATAATGTCTCCCAATGTCCCTTAGTGTCTCTGTGTCTGCCATAATGTTTCCCAATGTCCCTTAGTGTCTCAGTATATGTCTCCTTGCAGCCTTTCCCCCATCCCTTACTTCCCTGAGCCGTAGGCTGTCTCTGCAGGGTGTGAGTTGCTGTCTGGACTCTCTGTAGCTGCACCCCTGCAGATCAGTGAGTATAGATAGGCAGGGAGGGATATGCTGAAACTTCCTATCCCTGCCTGTCTCCACATACACAGTGACCCCTACTGGCCAGTGCTGGTATTGCATCGTAATCTCTGTTTATACTGAGAAAAATACCAGCATTTATATTGCCAGTATCACTGCAATATTGGCACCAGCCAGGCAGCCCCAAATACTGGCTGTGCCAATAAAATAAAAGCCAGGTGGAATCCCTAAGAGTAGTGTGTGAAAAAAAAAATGTAAACTTTTTTTAAATTTTTTTTTAAAATCAATGGGCCTATTCCATGGGCCTGGGCCTGGGCCTGGAGCTGCAGCTCCATCAGCCCCTATGTTAATCCGGCCCTGCTTTTAGACCTCTCTGAGGGTAGTGTGATGCATGTTTCTTTTGATATAACATACCATTTAAATATGTATTTGACTTATATATTTTTATATACTTGTGAATTTGGCTGTCGAAAATGCATGCTTATATTTGCAATTGCATACATTGAGCCACTAACACTTTTTAATATACTTTAGTTTTCATGTTATTATCTGGGACATTATGATCTAATGAGGACTCTTTATGATAACCCTGTGAAGAAAAGACGCATAGTATTCACGTCAACACGATCTATGCAAGAAGGCAGAACACTTCCTGATCGGTGAAACGCACAAGCGTTCCACCGACGTCCACCAGAATTCCATATAAGGAAGAGATTGAATGGCAATTAGAAACAAGCAAATTGAGAAAAGCGGTTTGGCTGAATGGATTCTGACACCTGTAGGAGGGACTTTTAAATACAGCTTCGGTCTTCAGAGCTCAGAGTGAATTAAACACCTTATCTAATTTTTTACTCCTGATGAAGTCTAATACATTAGACGAAACGCATAGAGTTTATTTTTAATTGTTGATATATATATATATATATATATATATATATATATTCTTTTTTGCCTACTACTCCTGTGAAGAACCCTCTACTCAACACCATATAGATTGGGAACGCAGAGTTGTATTGATGGGCTTTTTAACTCCTTGTACACTGTAAGTGCATTTATTAAAGCGTGTGATTTTACTTGATAGGTATAGGTTGTTTAGGTATATCTTACTTTTCCAGTATGTAACACATGCAGCGAGATGTGGCTAGGGCTGCATATACAAAGTGATTTATCTCCTAAATGGGAGGTAACTGAGACTGCAAGAATACAATCTATACACCGATACTGCTTCATTAAGCTCAAGATGTTTTGGTGGCTTACTGCCCTATTAAGATGTAATTTTGGAAGTTGTAGATGTTTTTGATTGCATTCCAGAGGTTGGCCAATTTAGATAGGTTACTGTTAGTTGTTTCTGTGAACAGTGCCTTAGCAAGTTTAGTTTACTTGTGCCATTATTGAATAGTTGTTTTTTAAGCAGTGAGGTCATACTGACAGAGTGTTTGTCTAGATTTTGAGCAACCAGCGTTCTTATAATGGCAAACCACCCTGGATCTAACTTCCCACCTGAGAGGATGTGTATCAAAGACCTGTAGGAAACATATTGGGAACAGTTAATTGCTGAGTTTAGATCATTTAGAAAAAAATTGAAGATTAGATTTCCTAGATAATATTTTGATGTTCGTGATGATAAGTTTAGAGTTGGTTTAATGTCTCCTATTTTCTAAAACCAGTACTAGGGAGTGGTCACTAAATATATTTGAAATGTACCCAGATCCGGAATTCCATTTGGGCAAGATAAAAGATCAAGCAGTGTATGTCTGGGGCATTATGATTTATATGAGTACACTTGTGCTAAATACAAACCATTAAAAATGAATTACGTTTGTTGTTTTTAACAACCAGCCGAATTGAATTAAATTAAAGTCTCCAAGACCCAAAAGTTCACTCCTGTTTTGTTTGGCATTTTGAGCTGGGGAAGGTGGCTGGCAGATGCTGATAATGGCCTTAGAAAAAGGAAGTTCATTCTTAGCAAGGAACAGTTTACTGGCTCTCCAACTAATTTGCAATGCCAGAACACTTATCTCCTGCGCCTTATTTGATGCATAAAGATACCTTGATTGCAATGAATTGGTAACATTTTTTTCTTTTTAATTTGACAATTTTTATTTTGTCAGTTTGCAAATACATGGGGAGTACAGAAGAGAAAGGGGGGGCAATAGTGAGAGTTGATACATACTTTGTCAACATTTGGTATATATAACACTTCGAGCTAGTTCACAGTGCTAGTTACATATTGCGCAGCATATTGCAGAATAAAATGACACAGACATAAGTTGGGTGTGAGGGTACGTTAGTGACACTGTGATCATTTTGAATTTTAAAGGAAACACTTGGTTTTTATTGTGTTCAATTTAGAAAAAAATAAGGGAACATACTTTGGATCTTCTAACACTACTTGGTTAGCTCTTTCCTTAGCAGGTAAGGAGAATGAAATCATTGGTCAGATAAAGTAAAGTAAATGGGAATTTTGAAGACGGCTTGTGTATAACGTAATATGCTGTGTTGTTTGTTGTTAGAAACACAAGGACTGGGAGAGCTCGATTTTAAGACACTAATGCATGAATTCATTGGGTAGTGGATCTAGCAACAGATTAAAAAAAAAAAGAAGAAATAAAGAAGATATGAAAGAGAGATAAAATATTGACTGGAACATACTGATCACTTGGGGATGATTATTAGTCTGGTTAAGTCATCTTTTCATGTATAGAAAGGGGATACTTAGTTACAGAGACATACAGTTTTATTCTCAATCCTCTCTACTTTGGAAGGGAAGAAAGTGGCACAACTAAAACACTTAAGCTTTCTGTAGTGCTTTATGTGCGAATAGTGTATCCATTTTTTCATTTTACAAAAATTGTAGATTTCAATAGAATTTGGCACATTTCTAAATTAAGACAACCAGTCCTTTTAGTTCCTGGTTTGGATAGCTCAGTGGAGTTAAAGGGACACTGTAGGCACCCAGACCACTTCAGCTCATTGAAGTGGTCTGGGTGCCAACTCTCACCACCCTTAACCCTGCAAGTGTAATTATTGCAGTTTTTATAAACTGCAATAATTATTTTGCAGGGTTAAGTCCTCCTCTAGTGGCTGTCTACCAGACAGCCACTAGATGGACTTCCGGCTTCTTAGACGCTATGCATGAGGACCTCCAGCGTCGCTGGAATACCCATAGGAAAGATTCTCTAGTGCCAGGAAAACGGGTTTGTTTTGATGGTACTAGAGAATCCCTTTAAACTCAAGAGGCAGGCACTTTCCGAGAGCACATGCCAAAGACTTCTCATTGAGCTGCATTGGAAAGTCTGTGATTGGACAGCCACAGAAAGTCTTGACTGAATTAGAAGGGGAGGGCTTGCAAAGACAGCAAACAAGAGACCTGCAGATTTTGCAAGCTGCTTTTTCAGATATACCCACAATATATATATAAAAAAAAGCATAATAAAATGCATGCATGTTTTCATTGGGATTATATCTATTAAATTGTTAACAACAATAGAAAAAAAACGTTTTCCATTGGAGTGTGCTTTTTTAACACCCATAATTCTCTGCATTGGTGCTTTTGCACCAATTTCAGTGAATTAACTACAGAGGAGGTAAATACACGGATAATCGTTCTTTGAAGTTTTCTGAAGTTACAAACCAGTTAGGTCAGTGGAGGTAAATCCACTTTTATTAAAATATCCATTTCTAACTTGAATAGAAAAGAAACCACCATGAACAAAGAAGTGATAGTTCTTCTTTAATTG